GCCTCCCGCCCTCCCCCCCTCCCTCCCCCCTTTTTTTTTATGCAAAAAGATCATTTAGTGTAATTTCAAAATCACAGTAAATTATTCTTAGGCATGTGGTATGACTTCTAGATGGCAAGTGGCTTAAGGCCAAAAGGAAACACCCAAAACAAGCTCTTGTTAGGTCAGAGTACAGACTGTGTCATGTTGTATCACCTAAGCACTGGGTGACCTCATTACTGGCAGCACTAAAACACATTTCTGTAAATGATCCTAACCTTTCACTTAGTGTGAGACTAGCTAAAAATACTGACACTTTGGGTGGTAGTGCAGGTCCAAGCAGGACGTGACAAACTTTGTTGAGACTATGGAGTAAAAGATGAATCATTGAATGGGATTATCAGCTCAACTTTTAAATGAAATGCACAGTTCAGAATAAAATTATTCTGATAAAAGATTCACTCAAATTGAAATAAAAAATGTCAGCGTTTCCAAAAGGTTTGACTTTGAAAATGCTCAATTTTTTTTATTTTTCAAAATCTTCTGTTTTTTTCTTTTTTTACTCTGTTGTGGGTTTGTATTTTTGTTTGGTTGTTGGGGTTTTCTTAACTACAGATTACTTTCATAGATAATGCAAGTCCTCCTGCAAATCCATTTTTTCTGAATTAAGACTCACCACTCTGTGTATATATTCGTTGTCATAGAGAAGACTCAGTGAAACATCAAGGTGGTGCTTTGTTTTAGAAGCAGAGGTTTCTCTGTGCCAAATGTTAAGCTGGAGTCTGTATTGTCTGGCTGGTCTTTACAGGTGAGGATTGAGTTAGAAGATATTTACACAGACTTGAAGGATGGCATCTCTCTCATGAAACTCCTGGAGCTGCTCTCCGGAGAAGCTTTGCCCAAACCAAGCCGGGGAAGGATGAGAGTGCATTTTCTAGAGAACAACAGCAAAGCCATCACATTTCTGAAATCCAAGGTAAGTTAACACTGATATTAGAGATCACAATAGTTTATATATGTTATTAATTAATTATAGCATCATGTTCATTGTAGTTTCCCCCTCTAATATGCAATAATATATCCTCTGAAGACAGGCCAGGGATTTTATTAAAAGAAAAAAATTCATCAAATTTTAATTTATTTTTTTATTTGAGTAATATGTTTTAGAAATAGCTAATATTCCTCTCTTTTGGAGGAAAGAAATGTGTTTCTTGCCTCTCCCTAACCACCGTATTTCAAAAAGTATATATTGGACCACTATCCTTTTGCCAGGCTTTTGCTGAAACTCGTCATGAGCTGATATAGGAGCTTGCAGGTCTGTGGATCAGTGAGAAGATGTAGACATTAAACCTTTTTGCTTAAGAAAATGGCCTGAACACCCTCTCCACTAACAGTTTGTTACACTGAGAGCTGGACACAAGAACTTTTATGCTGAACAGATACTGGTTTATTAGCAGGTACAAGTAAAAGTGATTGGTCCTGAGAATATCGTAGATGGTGACAGAACCTTAATCCTGGGCCTTATCTGGATCATCATACTTCGATTTCAGATTTCATCTATCAAACTTGATAAGGTAAAACTGTATCTTTGTCTTTTTGCTTATGCAACTGAATTCATGCTGGTTTCGTTTTTTTTTTTTCCAAGAGACAAAACAGTGACATGGAGATAGAAAGAACATTTGTGTTCTTCACTCTCTTCTACAATTTTTTTATGTACTTTTGACTTCATGCAGAATTTCTCTGTCAGCAGTTCTGTCTTGATTTGAGTCCCACGATGCTGCTTTGCTCTTTCTCTGAAGAAGCACATGCTTTTTAAAATTATTTAACATATACTCTAAGAACATGAAAAACATCAAAATCAATAATTTCTAAAAGTAGACCTGAATACATCACATTTTGTTTCTGAGTTCTATTTGACATCTAAGGAAGCAAATAAACTGAACTTTCCTTTCTGCCTGATTTCTACAGATATTACAGAAGAGAAATGTTTTAAAAATTTCAGCGCCTGCATTTTACTGTATAGTTTCTGCATTCATTCAATTCACTTTTTTTTTTTTTTAATAGAAAAATTCTCTTCATGTTAAATTTTTCTACCTTTATGGCAGTTACAGTCTGCAAGTCATGACTTTGAGGGGATCTGTGAATTGAACAAAAGTAACACAAAGTGATCTTTAGGAACATAAGTATAAACCCACTGATACTACTTTCACATATTGTTGACACAGATTTTTCTTTTCTGCTCTCTTCACAGGAAGAATTTGGAGGCAGAGCTGATGTTCTATTTGCCAATGAAGCCTTATTACTCTGGTGTCAGCATAAAACTGCCAGCTATTCCAATGTGAGTGTGAAGGACTTCTCCAAAAGTTGGAGTGATGGGCTGGCCTTCAATGCACTCATACATGCTCACAGGTAAGATTTGATGGATCAGCTCAGGCAGAGTTGTTCACTGCTGTTTCTAGCTCTGACAGGAGCTGTTACAGGGTCTGAATTGCAAGTTTTTGTCAATAAACTGTCAGATACTCTCTGTCCTTTCTCACTGAAGGCTCTTCTTTCTTAAATGGATATTTTCTCTCTCCTTCTTTGAAGGAAGGACCAAAAGGTCCTGCTTCATAGCAACTTTAGTTGGCTATAGCATTGAATTTCCAGGGGAATATCACATATCTGAACAATAATGCCCATTTGGTCTTAGCCCCTGAGACATGTTCCCATTGCCCTTTTTCTAAAATAATTCTTTTAGGCACTGGTTTTATTGAATGAACTTTGTGAGCATGTGTATCTTCTGGTTCAATTGTAATAGAGTAAGCAACTTCTCAGTCTCTTTCTTTCTCCCTTCTCTGTCCCTTTGAAAAACTGTGAAGAAAACACCCAAAAGTTATTTTGGAGCTTTATTGGAGAGAAACCACCTCTGGTAACCTTGAACACTTCTTTGTCCTCAACAGTTCTGCTATTTCTTACACAGGATACCATAGTGGGATTTTGGAGCTTTCCCAGCTGGGAGTCACCTCCCTTTTCACAAGTGTCTCTCTACTGGGCTTTGGTTTTCACCCATTGGGGAAGAGAAGTAAGGGCAGATATTTGCTAGGAGTGGCAATTCAATTTCATAGAAGACAATTTTCTTCCTGCAAATGTAGGCAAGGGGCATGCTCTTGAATGAAGTTCAGGGTCAAAGGAATTTCAGTGTTAATGCCACATAAAATTAGCAGTTATGTGACTATTAACTTGGTCTCATGAACAGTTTATGGTTTATGATCTGAAAGGACTTACTACAAATATAAATCTTTCTTCATCTCCATGCCCTCTTCTTCTCCTTGCCCAGGCCTGATCTTATCCACTATAGCTCACTGCGGCAGGACCAGCCCCTTAAAAACCTGAACAATGCCTTTGATGTTGCTGAGAAAGAGTTTGGAATCAGCAAACTGCTCGATGCTGAGGATGTGGCAGTGCCCTATCCAGATGAGAGATCCATCATGACTTATGTGTCACTCTATTACCACTACTTCTCCAGACTGAAACAAGGCCAAACAATACAAAAGAGACTTAACAAAGTAAGTGCATTGCTCACAATTATCTCTCAAAAATCAATCCTTTTTTGACCTCATAGTTTCTGTTTGAGAACTGATATGGTGCCAAGGCAGCTTGAGGCATGGAGATCTCAATAATATTGGGAGAAGATTAAGACTAGGCAAAACCAGACCTAGTCAAAATCTCATTTAATAGGAATGATGATCCCTTATTCCATGGAACTACACTGGATTTTGATTTCCTGTGAAAATCCTCATCCTTTCTTTCTAGCTCCTTAGGCAGAAAATGAAAAAAAGCCCAAACAAATGAAACAAAATGAAAACAACTTAATACCACCACCACCACCACCAACAACAACAAATAAAACTGAATGATAGCTAAACTGGCTAATTTTACATTTTTTTTAATTACATTTTTATTACTTTTTTATTAAATTTAGCTAAGTTAATTTTTCTTTCTGTTTCCACATACACTTCACAAAAAATCATAAGCTGTATTAAAAATTTCTTGTATCTCACTGATGGAAAACTAAAGGAATTTTGTAGTTGTTCCACCAAAGACCAGTTCCCTTGAGAGAATTTCTCAGGAGCAAGAAACAAGAACAGAGAAATCTGTTCTTGTTTTGACAGAACTCCAAAAGAAATAGCCTGCAGAAAACCTGCACATCCAGGATAGGTCCTCCATGAACATCTGGATTTGTAGGTCTGCCTGTGCAGTTGAGAGGGGGAATACATTGTTTAATGGGAGGCACAAAAATCCAGACTGAAGCTTCTCTGGTGGTGACAAGGTGAAAAGGTTTTGCAAAGCAGATTTTGGTCAGCTAAAAATGTGGTCTGGGGCAAAGATAGATGATCCTGTAACATGGTTCCCCCCAGCACCAAGCCTGTTATGTGGAAGGAGTGTCTGGAGGATGCTCTTTGTCAGAGGACCCAATGTTAGGTAGTCCTGCAAGGAGCAGGGAGTTGGACTTGATGGTCCTTATGAGTCCCTTCCAACTCGAAATACTCTAGGATTCTATGTCTTAGAACAGCATGTTCTCCACAGCATTAGATGAGAGCAGGACTTGGAATGCTGTCAAAGTTTGGCATCAGTGAGGAGAGTGGGCAGTAGGCACAGCTCTACACATGGGTCACTGGATTTTGGCCAGGAGACATTTTCTTTTGATAAACATGAAATAGTCCTTGAGTCCACAAGCATGTATTAGAGGAACTATAAGGAGCAAATAGGCCATAAAATTAGTATTATATGAATAAAGAGTTTGTTTACTCTGTCTTTTTTTCAGTTGTCATTGTGCTCCACTGCTTTTTCCATTTTTTCATAGTTATATTTATTCTTTCTTTTCTCTCTCTCCTCTTCCCTGCATCTTTTTTCTCCCTTCGACTACTTCTCTATTTTTAGCCTGTCTCTAATATTGCATTCATGTCTTCCTGCATTTCTGACACACACAAACACTCAGGAGGAGAAGGAAACAGATGTTAATCTCTTCATGTCCTTAGTCCCCTCAAATAGGCAGCCCTGAATTTACTAATAGGATTGAGAGGGAAGCCTGAATATGCCAAGAAAACCTTTGTGTTCAGACTAACTGTGTGACCAGGATGGCAGAGAGAAACAGCTTAGGGAGGCAAATCTCCTTTCCCTCTTCCATCTGAGGTGACCATGCATTTGTAGGATCTTTCAGCAAGAAGTGGGTATGATGGCAGAAAATACAGAAGGGAGCCCTGATGTCATGGGCTGCTTTTCCTGCACTAAAGGGTTGGTGCTATTTTACTCCTCTTACAAGACTGCAGCATTTAGTCATTGCCAAGTGCACTTTCTGGTAGGCAGAAGCTGATGACCACTTGGAAGGACTGGGTCTTTTCTCAGTGCCATCTCCCTCACTAATCTGCCTGGCTGGGGCAGGCAAACTCAGCAGAATGACAGAGGCAGAACATAGTTCTGTGCTGAACCTGACATTTGCAGGAGTAAAGGTCTGCATCTTTACTAAGTCAGGGTGTGGAAAAAATATCATGAAATAAAAAGACAAAGATGGAAAAGAATGTAAAGTGGAAAGAAAGGATGATTTATTCTAACACCTTTTATTTCATTAGGGATCTAATTCTGGATGTTTGCTCTAGTATTTACCTGTACTTTAAGTGAAGGCAGATCAGGCCACAAATGAAACAGACAAATGTTTCAGTCTGCAGACAGACTTGAAAAGTTAGTATTGAATCAGATTTAACCTCCTTACCAAAGCTCTGTTTGGCCATGAAACATTTTCTAATAATTTTTGTAAAGGAAAACTATTCTAACACAAGAGATTGAGAAGGGGCTGTTTGACCATGGTCTGCAGTGTGCATGTGCAGGATCTTGTCAGATGATCTCCTAAGATCCTAAGTGGTGAAGCTAAGAGGGTGTAATTACGTATTAGGATAGAATTGTTTCGGGGTTGGGGAATGAGACTGGGAAAATAAAATACGCGGTTTTTTTGATTGTGAAACAAAAAATGTGAACCATGCTGTTTACTCTCAAATGTTTTCTTAAATAAAAACTGAAAAGAAACGTTAAATAATATCAATTTATCTGTGTTTTATGGAAGGCTGTTCTAGGATTTCACCTAGCCTCAGATGTGACAGCTATCACCACATCACTATAAAGATGTGAAGACTGCTGAAGACACTGCTTTCTGTTCACTCACCTTGCTTCATTCTGTTTCTTATGGGGCTTGTAACTTTATATCTTTATATTCCCACCACAGATTGTGTTCTTCCTGAAGGAGATAGATGACTTGAAGCTTCAGTATGAGCAGATGGTCTCTGACCTCCTGAAATGGATTAAACAGAAGGTGATGGAGCTGGATGACCGTCATTTCCCCAACTCTCTTCAGGAAATGTGGCTGCTCATGGCCAACTTTAAAACCTTCCGCACTGTGGAGAAACCCCCCAAATACCAAGAGAAGGGCATGATTGAAGCTCATCTCTTCAACATCAGGACCAAACAGAGAGCCAACAATCAACGGCCATACTTGCCTCCGGAGGGGAAGATGCTGCAGGATGTGGAAAAACACTGGATCATCCTGGAAAAGTCAGAGCACAACCGGGGAAAAGCACTGCAAACAGAGATGTTGAGGCTAGAAAGGCTGGAACAGCTAGCCCAGAGGTTCCTGAAGAAGGCAGCCCTGCGTGAGTCCTACTTGGAAGACATGAGGAAAGTGATTGGCAAGCAGGACTTCTGGCCAGAGAGCGTGGACAGGATGGAGGCTGCCAGTAGGAAGCTGGAAGCCATTGTGGCAGATGTACTGCCCAGGAGGGAACGCTTCGCAGCCCTGGACGAGATGGCCACCGTTATCAGCCAGGAGAACTATCACGGCAAAGACCGAGTCTTGCTGAAGTGAGTGATGGCTGAGAGACTGTGTAGCAGCAGAGGTCAAAATTAGTTGAAATTCTGGGGTGTGGTGGAAGAAAACTAATTGTAACTGTGACTCTTGTCTCTGCTCTTCATGAGTAGAACTGTCAGGAATTTCTTCTGCCTGTTTCAGCAGATAAGGCAAACACTTCATCTTCTTCAAAATTCTATTTTTTTTCCTTTGATGATCAAAGCCTCAGACCAATTATGGGTGAAAAATACTTTTAAGATATTTTTGTTATATATGAAAATATACCCACAAATTTCTACCAAATCTTCTATCTGCCATCAAAAAATGCTTAGAGAGATACTATTTTTTTTTTCGCAAGTCGACACATTTCTATATCAGTCTGCAGTCTGGGGAGATGCAAATCAGTTAAGGCATGGTATTGTCAGATTTACTCAATTTTGGAGCAAATACTGAGAAATTATAAATACTCTGATTATCCCAGTTTATTATATAACCTGATTTGTGAGTATCTAAGAATGTCATACAAATAACTTCTCTTGTGGTATTCTATTGCTTTTCTAAATTCAGACAAAATCAAGACCCTCTGTGAAAACCCAGAAAACCAGTTATAAAAGAGTAAATCAAACTTTGAGATCAGATTGTGACTTATGATATAGTTTATATTTATGTTTTATTTTAAGCAGCTGTTTAAAGAACATTTCTTTGCTTCCAGGCCTTTCTACAGTATCAAGCAAAAGCACTGTAGCAAAAAAAAAAAAAAAGGGTGTTTTATGGACAACCTTAAAAATTATGTCTGAATTTTAAAAAGTCAATGACAGTTGATGTACTAGTCAAAATTCTTGTAATAACATTTTTTTGACCTGTTTTATGTTCCTGGCCTGTCCTCTTACACTGATGTCAAGAATTGTGTGTGCTCATTTAGCCTCTCTAAAGCTGCAAGCACTGAGATTCCTCCAGTGCTGCCCAAAGGTTTTGGTGCAAACTGGTAATTTCTTTCTCTTCCTTTGTAGGCAAAAGAGCATTTCAAAGCAATGGCAGGATCTCCTGGATCTGCTGCAGAGACGAGAACAATCCCTGGGAACAATGCAGGAAATTCTGGGCCTCCTGAGGGACATAGATGCCATTACAGAGGAGCTGAAAGAGCTGCAGGTACTGAGCCCTCTCCAGCAGTACACAACTTGCAGTGCTGCCAGTGTGTGTCCCCATGTTCCAGGGACTGGCTGGTGCCAACAGGAGATAAGTCTATCAGCTATAGAAAAAAACCACAATTTTTACCTAGACGCCTAACTGAGCATTTCAGTTCATCATCACAGGTAACTACATGAGGAGAAAAAAACCCAGGCTTTGCTATAGGGGTTTTCCCTAATCAGAAAGCCTGTATTCTGTTACATGGAATGCACTACAAGTTCAAGTTATATAGTAAAATAAAGATGGGAAATAATTTTCTAAATTTACAAGTGCAAAAGTAAAAGAGGAATAAAAACATCTCCTGTTTCCATTCCACGTAATTTTTCTGAACTAGCTTCTGGAAATACCTGCAGTAATTTTACAGATGGGAATTAGCTCAGGCTTTCAGGTATACAAACTCATGAGAAAGGGAAGTTCCACTGTAAATAAATAGTGATTGCTTTTAGTAAGAATTTCCAGCTGTTACCAGAGTGTCAGAGCACAAAGTCCTCTTTTCAGCATGAGAAGTAACTGGGTTCATACTGATTTTGTAACGGAAGGAATTACATATACGTCTTTTGCCTTTCTGAAGACAGAAAATCCTTATGACTACAGGTTGTGCCCAAGCTGAAAGAGTCAGCATGCTATATGAAGTTGTAAATGTCTAATTAAAGATAAGACCTATCTCTAAGTTATAAATATTTCTGTCCTAGTGTTGGTAGGCAAAGAACACCTAATGGTAATTGTGTCATTGGAACCACGATAGCCTGAGAATATGGGAAAAGATTGGTAAGGAAAGATAGTACCTTAGGATTAATAACTGTATGCATTGACACAATTAGAAAGAATACAGACTGATGAACACTCCCCACCAACTGGTGAATTAAGTACTATAAAATACTTTTTTTTGTTATTTAGATAGAAAGTAAGCTCCTCAAATAAAAACAACATTCCAGTTAGAACATACCAAAAAATGGAATATTGTGGAATTCTTCAAATACAGACTGAATCAATCTGCCTACAGATGGGTCTATAACAAAGGGATATTTATTGCACCCCCAAATTCTGAGACCTTGAGTGCTTAATCAGAAGAAATATCTTAGGTGCAAAAACAGATGTTTATTTGATGAGCCTATTACTTGCACTGCAACCAATAGAAAGTCTGGATTGTTGCCATTAGCTGGTGGAATTGACCCAAAAAAAGTATAATTTCTCTAAATAGGCAGCTTTTTTGCTTTACTTAGCTGACATTCTTGGACATTTAGAAGCTATAAGAGACGACAGGAACCTTTCAACTGATTTATTTGAACAGAGGCCCTAGATGCACTCTCTGAAAATGTCTTATTTCTTCTCATTTTGTAGGTGCTAGTGAATTCTCAGGACTGTGGGAAGCAACTCCTGGAAGTAGTGGATTTGCTGCAGAATCACAACTTGGTTGACTCACAGATCTCTTCCTATGATGGCAGATTGACACACATCACCCAGAGGACAGCAGAAATCAGCAAGGACAGCACAGTTAGATCAGAACTGCTTTATGCAAAAGTTCAGATGCTTCATCAGCTGTACCAGAACCTCACAGCTCAGAGCAAGTCACGGTAGGCCTGTGCTTGTGGCTCTTCCTGATTAGGATGCCCAACCCTAACTCTTTAATCAGAATTTTGCATTTGAAAAATTTTCATTTGAAAATTTTCATTTCTCCATTCGTAAAGACATAACAAAAGAACTCAAGTGTCTTGATTGCAATTGACTGAAAGGATCATTCACTTCCCTAGATGAAGAATAGCTTCATTCTCAGCATTTATTATAACTTCCTTTATGACAAGTCTGAAGAGCAAATGGTTATTGCCTCATCTGGAAAAAGAACAAAATGTAATTTTTTTCTTTCGTCTTATTCCATGAATAAATTAATATATGACAAAGAGGAACTAAAAGTTTTCAAGTTCTGGATTCTTAAATTTTTCTTTAATTAATCTACCATTGTCTTCATGGAATCCTAATTTTGACTGTCACACACTGTTTATTTCCTTGGTTCAGTAAATCTCAGTTGGAAGAGGCTTTGAAGCTTTTTGAATTCTTCCGTGACTGCAAAGAGGAAGAATCATGGATCTCTGAGAAGTGGAAGCTGGCAAGAATGACAACACTGGGGAAAGATGTCAGCCAGATCACAGCCTCTATTCAGAAGAACAAGGTATCTTACTTTGCTGCTGGTTCCTTGTCTTTGTATTAAAGCAAGATTTCACAACGTCAGTATCATCCAGTTCAGTCAGTGCAGCACTTAGAAGAATTCTGTCAAACTAATCCTTATCTCAAGTGTCATGCCAAGAGTTCAGAATTTTAAAAAAATGTATAGAGTACACATTTTCTCCCAAAGAGGGGAAGGGTAAAGAAGGAATGTGCTTCATACTGGACTAGAAGACACTGGGCTCCATATTAGCTAACATTTGATGGGCAAAAAAATGTTGTTAGTTTCTGTTTTTTCTCACCTTCTTTTCCTGGCTAAGAGAGATGAGGGTAAAGACAGAGGTGGTGAAAAGTTAAGGCTTGGGGCTCTTGGAAAAGTAATGCATGACAGTAGCAGAGAGCAGGAGCCACTCTTCTCTCCTGGGTGGTGGGGAATGAGCTGTGCTGACATGTTTCCTGTCTTTGTGCTAGGCTCTTGAAGCAGAGTGCAATTCACACAGGGCCATAAGTGCAGATGTGATGAGGAGGGGCTGGGAGCTCAGCCAAAAGAACCCCATGCGCCAGGACGACATTCTGAGACAGACAGACAACCTCCAGAAGCTGTGGCAGCAGCTCCAAGACGAGGTGGCTGATCGCAAGAGCCGCCTGCAGGCAGCAGCCCTCATCAAACAGGTGAGAGGGTTCTTCTGCTGGGGTCTGTGATATGTGCGACGTGGATGTGGCTCAGTTCTGCCCCATGCCCCCATGGAAAAGACAACAGTGACAGGAAAGATGTCATCTGTTGGTGTTCAAAAAGATCTCAGGCAGTGAAGTCTCAATCCTCCTGCAAGCCAGACACACAGGAGATTTGAGCAGCTGGGAGATGCTCTGAAGGTAAAAATGCTAATAGAAATAACTCACATGCTAGTGCGAATGATGAGCCTTTTTAGAGGGTGGGTCAGATAGCCGTGTGACATATTTTAAAAAATGAAAAAATAAATTCCAAAGACCACCAACAAAAGAAGCGTGTTGTAAGACTTAGATTGACCATGAACTTCACAAATATTGCAAAGTGTTTGACACTTCCATTCTGACCTACAATTTTACTCCCACAAACATTCACACATCTGCAAGTAAAGAATTTGTATAAAAGCAACATTCTTAAGTCTTATCACATATCTCAGGTATTCTTAGTCTCCCTTTCTTAAGGTTTTTCTCAGTCTGTTGTTTCCATGAAATGTTTGAATAAAACTGAACAGTTTTTTCCTTAAGTCTAAATTCTCTCTTCTCTCTATTACGTTTGACACCATTATGATGTTTTAGTTTTTTCTTTGTTCCTCATTACATTAGGTTTAATTTTTTTCCTGTTGTACCTTTATTCTATGTCTAAAAACCTGGGTTTACCCTTCTACAACCATAACCAGGCAATTGCAAATTCTGGAAAAAAGTAAACTTCTGTTGTAGACCAAGTTCATTGCTTGTTCCTTAAACATTTAGAAAATATCCGTTGGTATTACGTAGTGATGCCTACCAACATCATGCCTTGTGGGTTCCTTTTATTGCTGCTGTTATGCACCATGAAGTTTTAGCTAGTTAGGAGTTTTTAAACAGCTACATAGGCAATCCTTGAATCTCTTTACTCACCGTAATTCTGTGAATTAGCTGTGGGCATGAAATACATCAGTAAGGTCATTGAAGGTCTAGAGTTACCTTCACAACACCTGGAAGTAACCTTATGGCCACAGGCCTAATGGAATTTCTCCTTATCCATAATTTTACAAAGAGGAAGGAGCTGGATATGATACTTCCAGGATGAATCCAAGTGTTTTCCTCCCTGTTTTCCTTCAGTACTTCGCTGACATCGATGAAGCATATTCGTGGCTGCGAGAGAGGCAGCCGCTTCTCGCCAGCGAGGACTATGGCAAAGACGAATCAAGTGCCGAAGCGCTGTTGCATCGTCACTTGCGCCTGGAGGAGGAGATTGCAGCCTATTCCTCTGAGATGAGACGCCTCAAAGAGCAGGCTGACATTGCAGCACAGCAGGCTCCAGCTGCAGTAAGTAGAGGAGGCGTTGTGTCATGTTGTGTTGAAGAATGTAAGTGAAGTGCTTTTTCAATTATTTGGTTTTTATTTATTTTGCCAAAATGGTATATTGCAAATTAAGTTTTTAATTAGAATGGGGGAAATTTTCAGGTGAAAAGAAATCCCTTTTCTGCTCGTAGCACACCTGGTTAGTATTTTTTGAAGTGCTAGAAGTACTCTGATCCATGATGGTTCCCTCTACTGGTCCTCACAAATACATTCTCACTCTTTATTCTCATAAAATTATTAATTTCAGTAATCATTAAAAAGAAGATATTTAATCAAAACATGCTTAAAAATTCTTCTAAGGTAGTGAAGAACTATCCCACAATACCAGGAGCAACTCATACTCTCCCTTATTTTTAAGGCAAATGAGATGAAGTCAACCTCTGCAGATGCCCCTCTTTTTCACTGACTAGAAAGGGAACTTTTGACCTGAGATCATCTTGTTTAATAACAGAATCCAGGGGAGATAAATTGATGAACGACACATTTCATAGCTTGCTTCTTTAGACATCTATATTCACTCAGTATTTAGCCCAATAAATTTGAGAGCAATGGCCATCACTTGTGGTCTTTCCTTTACCTCATCAATGTTAATTTTTATTAGAAAAATATTTTATTACTTTTCTATGAAATGTGAAAAAGCACGTGGCAAGATGGTGTTGATGGACAAATAGAAGTATTGATTCACTAGGGTCCTCACAGACTTTGAAACTGGAAGCGTTCATGTACTAAAACGTCACCACAAAGAGAACCATGAGCATAGTCAATTGTCTTGTTTTGTTGGCACGTCTGAAAATAAAAAAGCTCCTCCAGCCAAATAACTTTGGTTTGGGGAGAAAATGAGAATTTTTAATGAATCAATAAAGTTTAAAATGAGCTGAATGAAACTTATTCTTTAAACAAATCCAAAAGGTTCTTCAGGTTTTTTTAATTAATTTTTTAAGAATAAAATAGTGGAAACAGTTCTCAACTTCCTACTGGAAGTTTTTGGTTTAAAGGGTCAGAATGCTGTGAATTGAACTAGCAAGTCCAAATTTTCCTTCCAAGTGAAATTTTTAACCAAATCACAAATTTTCATCCATTGATTTTGTTAATTTTTTCTTAACAGATGACAAAGAGGGAAGCCCCAAGTGACTTAAACCGAAAGACAACTAGGCTACTATTCAGCAGAACCTGGGCAACATCTGAAAGTGCATCCACTGGAACCTCAAGTCTGGATGATCATTTTCTTCCAGAGAATATCTGGAAGACCCAAGAAGAAATAGATTCACTTTATGAACATCTACAGAGCATGGCTGAGGTATAATATCCCCTTCTGCTGTGTAGTTCATTAAAAAGTCCAAACCAGTGAAAATTGAAATTAAGTGCTTTGCTGGCTTCTGCTTTTCAGTTTAATAATGTGCCTCAATCCTGTTAATTCCTGTAGAACTTCGAGCCTTGAGATTATCATTGAAGTTTTATATCAAAACAGAATTTCCCATTTACATTCCAGTATTTTTAGTCCATGAAGAGCAGATTCTTTTACATAATCCTTTTTTATTCCCCCTTAATGCTCGTTTGTTGGAGCTCCTAAATCACCAGGGTGTCTTGCCTGACACCAGAAAAAATAAACTGTAACCTGCATTTTGTTAACATGCTGCTCTTCACTCACACCTGCTCTAATCATGCCCTAAAGACACACACAAACATATTGTATGTGGCTTTTACATATAGTAGGGACCACTGTCTAATGTCATCAGCAAGCAGCAGCAAGTATCACAGCAGCCTTCCTTACTGTCCAGAGGCTGAGCACTCTCCAAATGATTCTCTTATGCTTTTAAACCACTGTTGCTCTGGGAAAAGTATTGTGATCTCAAAATTTCATGGTCAGTTCTCTTTCAGCAGTGTCTGGGAAAGCTACTAAGCTACCACCTGTGTGTTGTAGCTTATATTGAAGAATATTTTTTCTGTTGCTTCAAATGGTAAGGAGTTATTACAACAATAGTTAAGTCTTCATCTCTTTTACAGAACAGAAAAAAGGCTCTGGAGGAGATGATTGGATATTATCGCTTCTGTAGCTCTTGTGAAGAATTTCAGTCATGGATGAGAGATAAAGAGAACATTTTCCGCACTCTTCAACCTCAAGCAGACAATGTGGAGGTCATGCAGCAGAAATATCAGGTACCCCTTTTTCCTCTTCACAGATGACACCTTTTAAATCAATTTTATCTTAAGAGAAATGATAAAGTTGAGAAATGATGTTTTGAGAGCCTTTTCATTAATTTCAACTTAGAGATTCATTCATAGACCAGATATTTCTTATGTACAGACTATGCCAAAGTTACTGAAGCTGATGAGACTCAGTCCCTTTATCTTCCTGTGAAGACAGGTATCCTGTACAAATATCATGGTACAAAAAGATTAATTCTGTGGCTTGTCTTACATCACCTTAAAAAAGTACCAAAATATGAAAAAATCCATCTGAGCATTTGCATCCCAGTGGAGTGGGACATACGTGCACAGATGTAGTGTGCACACCAGGGAGGCCAGGGGGCTGCAGGGGAGTTGTGTGCACAGGTGTGCATGGAGTCAGCAGGCAGGCAAGGGGAGAAGCCAGCTGTGAAAGTGGGATATGAGTGGATATAAGGGATTATCGAGAACTGTGTCCACAGAAATGGTAAAACCTCATGCTCTTCATTCTTGTATTTTTCCATTTTAGAGATTTTTAACAGAACTGGCTGCAGGCAAAGGCCAGCTGGACGACATTGAACATTTAGCTGCTAAATATGGAAAGATCAGTCCCAGCAAATATTTTGAGATCCAGACTTGGATGGAAGAGATCAACATCAGGTAAAGTGCTACTGATAAGCAGAGGATTGTCTGGAGAGCTGACCATTCATATCCCTTCTAGACGACAGTGCCACCAGTGGTTAAGGGGCATCCCTCAGCTGGTTGTAGGCTGGCCCTGAGCCTAGTGCCCTATCTCCAGGACTGAGGGGTTCTCCTAGGACCCTGAAACCAAATCACTTAAACTGTAGAAATATATGTGTGTGTGTTAAAAGACAATGTGAATACATCCACGGGTGATAGTGCTGTATTCAGAGTAGTTCTGCAGCACTGCAGCTGATTTGGTTACTTAAGCATCAGGGTAAGGACACACTTCACAAACACTGAAAGGAACATCAAACCACATTTGACTTCACCAAGAGTATTTAGTACCTGCTGTGAATGTATTCCTACTTCCATGTCACTCAGTGGGCAAAGTCAGGTCCTGATTTTGACCATGGTTGTTTAATTGCATCATGTTCAGAGTGTTCTAGTCACCTGAGCAAGTCCCCTTGTTTGCGATGACACTGATATGAACTCTGATGTTGTGAAGGAGTACTAGTGTTCACCCCCACCCAGCCCATTTAAGTCCTGATGAAATCTTTGTACAAGATTTTTCCTGAACAGAAAACAGATATAATTCACATATAACAACGGCTATAAATTGTTATTTCACTTCAAGATGGCAATCCATGGAGACACTGAAGGAGGAGAAAGGCTCTGAGCTGATTGGAGTGGCTGACGTGAGGACATTTCTTCAGGACTGCCAGAGCATAGGAGTGCTGCTGCAAGACAAGATGGTCCAGCTCAGGGATCTGGAACCAGGGAACTTGCCTGCTGGCCTGGAGTCAGACAAGCGCAGACTGTACGCAATTGAGAGAGAGGTCCTGGTGACAGAGAGGAAAATTGAATACTTGAGGAGTGTTGCAAAATCGTAAGGAACCTTCTTTTTGTTTTCACTTTCTTTGCTAGTTCTCTAAGATCATGCTGTAAGTTATGGCTATAAAGAGAAAGAGCAGCTCTTAAAGTTTCTAGAAATCTGAAGAACTGCTGGACTGTCCTGATCCCTCTTGAATGTGGCTGGGTGCTTGGGGAGGTGTTTGTTTCCAGACTTCACAGTTGTAGAAGGATGAATAGCACAGGCTTGTTTGTGGCTATGACAATCATCTCTACTAATATTAGTTACCTACTTCAAAATGTGGAGGGATCACTTAGGTCCTGAAAGAGGGTAATCAGGGGAAGCAAGGGTGATGGTAGGAAAATACCAGATAATTGTGCAGAGGAGTTAAAATTTGAAATATTAAAGTTTTTCACTTCTTTAAGTTTCCTGTACATTCACAATGGGAATGTGTTGCCTTAGCTGACTTCCTTTTTAATGGAACTCTAAATATCCAAATCCATTCCTTTTAAAGAGCACTGGTTCTAGCTCTAAGTGTTCATACAATTGAATGTATTTTATTGAAGGATCAAGGACACCAACCCTGCAGAGAGCAGGGCCATCACTGAGCAGGTAGAAAACATGGAGAGACTTCTGGCAAAGCTCAAGCTGGAGATCCAAAAGAAGCAGGACATTCTGCAGTGGGCCCAAAACCAACAGTCCTTCCTGCAAGACAGCCGTAGGCTCCTACTGTGGGCAGAGGGCATTCGGGAGAAACTGAGCAGTGAAGAAATGGGTCTGGACGTGGGATCTGCAGAGCAATTGCTGAAGGAACATCAAGACCTGCTGATAGAAATTGGCTCTCAGAATGAAAGGTAGAGAGATTCTGGCAGGGTGGGCAGAGTGGGGTGATATGACAACAGTACTGTGAAAATGGAACGTGTAAATCATGTACATAAATTGCATGTGAAGGTGATGCCAATATTTTATTCACATGCACTTGAACATAAGTGACAAAAAGAGACTGCAAACCCTGAAAATCTGGCCAGCTTTTGCATACTGATCCTGAAGGCTGTTGGAGGGGAAGGAGGAGCTGTATTTTTGCAGTAGTAGAACTCCACAAGCTCTCCTGACACTTTCAGAGAGTGTCATCTGTACTTTATTCCAGTTCCCTCATTCCTTCTCAGGCCTTATGCTTCCATTTGCCATCATTCTCAGTTCTTCTTCTGCACTGTTACGAATTTCCAGTTTTCCAGAATTTTCCTCCTTTCCCTTTAACCTGAAGACCTGCATACATGGGCTTTCAGTCCAGATGGGGAAATCTCACCTACTGCCTCTAGCATGTGTACCTGAGCAATAAAACAGGCGCACTTGGTAGTGCACAACCTGCAGGAAAAAGGTAACAGGAAGAGAGGGAAACCTGGTGTATGGGCACTGCCAAGAGAGCAAAGAGCTGTGATGAAAGAGAATTCATATTCCCTCATGCAGTGAGCTCTCATTTTTCTTTTTGACTCTGGGAAGATTTCTGCAGCTGGAAGAGCTTGGGCACAAAGTCGTCCACCAACAACCAAGTAACAACAGGAGCAGAGATATCCACCAGACCGTGGAGAGACTTGCCAAGGAGAAAAAAGACCTGGAGGAAATGTGGGAAAAGCGATGGAGAAAGCTGCAGGATGGCCTGGAATTGCAGAAGTTCAATAGGGAGGGAGACCGTATCAATGCAGCCCTCTCTGGCCATGAGGCCTTTCTCCGGGGGGATGACCTCGGGGTATGTACAGCAGCTGATCTTGTCTTCCCTGCTTCTTCTTCCCATCCAGAGAGTAGCAACAATCTTCTTTATTAGATTGGCTTCTTCATTCTTCTGATCATGGCATTTCCATGCTTGGAAACTAGACTTTCAGGATCTTGTTAACATTCTTAGGTTCTTGTGCATCTTAATGAGAACAAAGCTCATTGTCCCTCAAAAAAAAAAAATTTATAACAGCTAGAGTTGTAATTTGTTGCTGTTTGTACATGTCATATGGTTTATATAAAATTGACTCATGCATTAACAAATAAGGTTTCAGCTTAAACATAGTAGTTTTTTTTCCAAGTAAAAATATAACCTTTTTTTTAAAAAAGTTGGGGTTTTTTTTTCATTAATTTAATAATATTAAAGCATATGAAGCAAAAAAACAAAGGCAGATAATAGTCACAAAATCAGTGAAAAGGAGGTTGTGGTCTCAGAACCCAAAACATTGATACTTTGGGATCAACTGAGTGGAATAAAGTTTTACAAGTTAGTCTTTTGTATTGCACACCCCTAGATGGGCCAGAGTGCTGGCATAAATTTAGAATGCAGATTTTTTTAAAAGGTGAAAATGGAACCATAATGGAAACATAGAACAAAGAAACTAGGTATGATACAAACCTGCTGCATGTTTGTAACCCTGAACATCCTTGAACTCATGCAAAATGTACATTGAACCTCCAGCCTGAAAGAGAAGGAGGAAAGTAAGGTCTGAATTTATTTTTTTTTTCACTGCTACAGAAACAATATGAGCAAGAAAAGTCTTGATTAAATTTTCTTTTTCGAATGCAGGACCACGCAGATGCTGTTCGAAGCCTGCTGAAGCAACATCGGGAATTTGAACAACTGCTGATGGCACTGAAGAGACGAGTGGAAGCACTCAATGAGAACGGGGTGACCCTAATAGAGAGCAGGCACTTTGCATCTCATCTGTGAGTCCAAACCCATTCCTTTTTTTTTAGCTTTAATGAATGATCCAGTGTGATCAGGTGAAATGAAAAATTTTCTCTGAGGAGAAATTAGTTGACCTCCAATCCACAAATTGATGAATAAGGGCGCCAAAAAGAATTGTTTTCTTTTCCTGTGCTCTTAGGACAAATGAGCTTTAGGGTAAAAGTGGCATTTAGCAGAACAGTAGAAAAATTTGGTTTGTATCATAAATTACATATAGTGAAAAAACTTCCATAAAGTGAACTAGTTAAATGCCTACAGAAAAAGAATTCCTTAATTTATCAGTATCACATATTAGAAATATGGTTTGCTTTTAAGAAGTTACTGAAGACCTCATAAGCAAAACACTTCAGGAGCATCTCCTTTGTGTTTTTATCCAAGCTGAACTGTTACCTGTAATTCCTTTTTCTGTGCTAGAGCCACTAGGATCTAGTAAGGTGACCCCTTTCCAAACAAGAGTTAGAAATAGAGGGTTAGAATGGACTTCTTGGGTCAGAAGAACGTGTTCTTGTGATTGTAAGCGATAATGTCTTGAACACTCCCTCCACAAATTTATAAAACTTCCCTTAAGATATGATTTCTTTACAGCACTACTGCCATTAGAAAGCTATTCCAAAGCCTTACTGCACTTACACCAAAGAGGAAGTTATTTGTTAATTGTAACTAATATAACAACACTGTGAAATATTTGGGGCAGAGGGACGTCTCAGTGTTCCAGTGTATGACTGCAATTCACTAAGGTGACACAGCCATACAAGAGGAAAATCCAGTGCAGCTGGCAGGCAATACCTGCTCTCCAGGTGGGCCCAGCATGGTGATGGGACAGGGCCATATATCCCTTCTTCCGGTCAGCAAAGCTGTAGAAACTAGATTACATTTGTATCACAGTCATGACTGCAGCATAAGCAGGGAGAACCAAATAGCTAGTACCAATTAGTATAGCACTGGATTTCCTGTTTTTCTTGGTAGTATTGAAGAGAGAATGGTCACTCTCCGGAGAAGGTGGGAGCAGCTGATACAAAGCAATGCCAAAAGAAAACAGAGGTTGTTGGATTCTCTACAACTACAGGTAACTGATGCTGCAGATTTGGTCAGGCATCTGTGAATTTTGAATTTTACCCCTTGTCTTAATATGAGATGAAAACTCAAGCTGCTGAGCATTTGTACTGCTGCTCACTTTCTCTTTGGCTGTGGGACAGAGCTTCGTTCCCCGGGGACCAGATGATGCACTGGCAATAAAACTTACAAAGCTATAACCGTAGAATTTTTTTTTAGAAAAAGGATATTTTAGAAAAAGGAGATTCTGAATGAAAAATACTAACAGAATGCTTTGTCTACTGGTTAAGTTTATTCTGCTCATTACTTACTATTTTTCTGAGTCTTATCAACTTAGTACAGTTAATCTAAGTTTTGGCTCCAAACTTAGTTTTCTATGCTGAGATAAAAAGTTATACTGGAGGATTGGCCCTCTTGTGGTTAAAATATTCTGTCAATGATGCAACCTTCACTGACAATTACAGGCAACAGATTAGTAAATGTGGCAGAATAGGGACCAAGAGAGATTATGATGGCTTAAAACCTCATCTGTAGTTCATGATCATACTTCTTCATTAGTTAAATCAATTTAATCCTGTTTGTTTTCTGTAAGGAGTTTAATCGTGATGCTGCTGAGCTTTTGATGTGGATGGAAGAGAAGTACAAGATTGCATCAGATGAATCCTATCGTGATCCAACAAATGTTCTACGCAAGTTGAAGTGGCATGAGGCTGCTGAAAAGGAAATGCTGGCTAATGAGGAGCACTTTACAACACTGATAAAGGTGAAGGCAGCTTTGGAGCTAAGTTTTCCGTCTTGTACCAAAATTCATAGATGCTGATCTGCTAATAAAGTAATGCACTGTGTTTCTCCAGAAAGGAAATCAATTGATTCAAGACAACCACTATGCTGCAGTTTCTGTCCAGGAGAGGATGTCAGAGCTTCAAAAGAAGTGGAGGGAATTGTATGGCAAGATGATAGAGCGAGGTGACAAACTGAGACAAGCTGGACAGCAGGAACAGCTCATGGAACTGCTGCAGGTCAGGAAGCCATGAGGAACAGAGGGGAGGAATGGCCTGGGAGCCTGGTTCCTCTATTGTGCTGACACCCCATAAAAGAGAATACTGTCCAGATAGAAGTGGTTTTTAAAGTCTCCATTTTGTCTACAGTCCCAGGAAAGAAAGCCCAATATTATGTTGTCCAAGTTCACGTCAAGCTTATGAGCATGATAACAGTGCTAGCAGAGCATCAGGCTGTTGAACTTGGGCTCAACACTGCATCTGTGTGGCCATCCTGTACTGGGAAAGCAACCCCAACTCTGTAGGAGTCAATGCTGTCAACATAACTGCTTGCCTGGAGTCTGGGGGCCACAGGCATGCCACTCTATTAAGCACATGGTCATCCAGACAAATTTTATAACAAGAACAATATGCTGTGAAACTGCTTTGAGACCATAATGAATGGAACTGCTGTTGCGTTATAGCTACAATCTGGTCTTTGAAGATTGTCTGACTCTTTTATATTGTGTTGATGAAGATATTTCCAAGAGACTGTTTTCAATGATGTGCTCTAGTGTCTCAGAGAGAAGAGTACTCCAAAATAGTTCACAAAATAAAATATTCCCAAAAGATGTCTCCTAGAGACATCCAGCCATCATATTACCAAGAAAGGACAATTGGATTTAAAAACTGGGTCCAGGAAGCTGTCATAGGAGGGGGTGAGTGAAAGAAAATGTTGTTGAAAGGATAGTATGAGTGTGCTGTAATCTTTTCCTGGCAGGATGCCAAAAAGAAGATAGAAAAAATTGAGAGAGTTCTTCAGGAATCTGAGACAGGCCATGATTTGCGCTCCAGCCGTGATCTACTCAAGCAGCACAGACAGCTGGAGAATGACACGCGTGAGCTGGCAGAGAAAATGAATGCCATTGTATCTCATGCAAGGAAAATGGCCACCAATCACTTTGACTCCCAGAGGATTCTGGATGAAACACAGAAATATCTGAAAAGGTACTGTGTCCCTCTGGTTTTTGTCTCCACCCACCTCTTGTGGCAAATAGCATTTTTTAGTCTACGTTCTTAAAAATTCTCTTGGTTGATTAAATTTAACCCATACTCAGGAATGATTTCTCCTCCCAGCTGGAGAACAACTATGCTTTGATCTGCACCTTCACAGCTTCCTGTTGACCCACCTCAACCTTTATGACTGAACATTTACTCCTTGCCAGCTGCACTCCTCCTCTAGTCCCTTTCTTATCCACAGGTCATCCACTGCTTTGTACGAGGTACAGTGATTCAACATCCAATACATTACAGGACAAGCCTAGGACTTTAAAAGTGTAAATTATTTTTTTCTCTGCTTACATTTAGTGTTGTCATGTAGGTCTGCTTGCAGGGGATCCTTGTATGTGCAGCCAGTACTAAAGATTGAAATTTAACTGCAAAGAAGTGTCCAGTGTTTTGAAATCTTCCCAACGGTGTCATAGCCTAATTCCCTTGGCAGAATGAGGATAAAGCTTTGTTTTAATATAATTTAATGGATGACCCCTAGGTTTGAGTCTTTGCAAGCACCTCTTTATGAGAGGCGTAAGTTGCTGGAGGCTGCCGTGGATCTTTATGAGTTCTACCATTATCATGACATGGAAATGAACTGGATCAATGAGCGCGTGCCTATCGCCCACTCCACCAACTGCGGGAAGTCCTTGGATGTGGCTCAAAACCTGCTGCAAAAGCACAAGGTAACCCCTTCAATCAAGTGCTTCATAGCATGGTGACACACTGAACTTCACCTCAGCCTACAAACCTGCACCCAGCCCCTGCACAGTCGAGGCTTCCAATGAATACATTCACTGATTCCAGCTCTGGTCCAGCTAAAATGGGTCAGTGGATTGACACAAATCACTCGCAGAGTGGTGATGTCTTTCAGAACAAATAGGAACAAATTTCAGAACAAATTCCTGTGAGAACTGCAAAATTTGTCATATTATGGAGTATTATTAATCTGAGAAATTGCATATCTCTTCCCATTAAAAGAGGATAAAAAACTAGTGTATTTGACACTAAATAGAAAAAAAAAAAAAAAGAGTAAACTAAATAAAACTATTGCTGTTTTATGCTTATTGCTTCATTATACATTCAGTCTTGAGGTTTGTGCACACTGGATTTTCTAGGAGCGCATATAACAGGCATTTAACAATTATCTTAAATCTCTACAGATTTTAAAATGGTCTGAACAAGCTATAGTCACTGTATTTATAAGGACAGGTTACTACTGCTTTCTGGGGAGTTTGATTCTTTGCATCAGGTTCTCACAGCCAGAGGGTCATCTCAGCAGGACTGCACCACCAGCAATGCTGCATTTTGCAGCACCTTAATTGTAAATTTCATGAGAACTGTTATAAGACTGGTGGGAAGGATTTATGGAGCAGTAGTCCAATAGCTTTCATGGTACTGATGACAGTGTCTCTCTTTGCATCATCCTCCAGCCCCTTCATCATCTTGGATATTTTATTTTTCCATCACCAGCTCAACATTTTTTCTGATTCCCCCAGCTTTGTGTCTCTTCCTATAATCTACTCCACCTCCCAAGCCTCCCTGGCTGCTGGACAGGGGAAAGGGAAGGAGCATGGTAAAGAGAGGACTTTGGTGTAGGGAAGTTAAGGGATGTGTGCTGCTTACACACCCTTCCCTCCTCTCTCGATGGCAGTACCAAGAGCAGAGCATTATTTGTGTGGGGCTGGCAGCAGTGACCAAAGCTGCAGGTGTGGTAGAAATAAGACAGTCCTGATGTCCACTTGCTGTACTCTGCCCACTGTCACCAGCTGCCACTTTTGCTTACGACTAGGATCACACAGAATTTACTTGTCCTCACATATCTTCCTTTATTCCTACTTTTTCTTTTTCCTCATTCCCAGGAGCTGCAGGCTGAAGTGAATGCCCACAAACAGCAAGTCCAGCGGGTCCTGGATAAAGGAAAGACAATGATTGTAGGCCAGCACCCATCAGCTCAGAAAATAAGTGAGAAATGCCAGGAGCTTGTGACTGCCTGGCAGGGCTTGGAGAAGTCCTGTGAGGAAAGGATGAAGCAGCTGCAGCACTCAGTTGGCTTCCAGGAGGTACAAATGAAAGCAAAGAGCTCACACAGTAGTTTCTTCAGACAAACAGGAGGACCAAAGTGAATTAAAAAACCAGCTTTGCTGGGACTGGTGTTCCCTTCAGCTGCTTGAAGCCAGACTCATGGGAATGGAGGGCTGGATTGCATAGTTGATTGCAGCCCCCACTCTTGACCTGCGGCTCTACAGGTTTCCTTGGGTTCTATACCCATGAGTATGGCTGTGCACAGAACACACATTTCTCCTAGCTGTAACTCCTTTCCCTCTGTCTTTACACAGTCTCAGGCTTCAATTTATTAATGAAATGGATCCTGAACTGGAGAGTTACAACATGGAAATCAGGAAAGAGGGGATTTCTTGTGCTATCCCTTACCTGTTTCATGCAACAATTGTCCAGGCAATAAAATGATACTGAGGAACAGATAACATTCATTCGCTCTAGGAGCAAATTAGGGATTTTGGCTTTATTCTTTTCTAGAGGCTTCTGGACCTTCATGCTTAGCCTGTTTTAAAAATATAATAAAATTAAAAATTGTATGCAAATATTTATATCGATAATCCAAATTTTCTGTGATCAGTGGGTCACGTAGGAGTGCAGTTATTCAGACAGCACATGCAGTTTTGTAGGCATAAGCAATATTTACATGGAATGCACAGGCCCAGCTAAAGTGAGTTCCCTGGGGTATTCAATCATCTGACCTTTATTTCCTCTATATATGAAAACACTTATGAGTACTGTAGACGTTATGAAGCCTGATTCTTATAGTGATTTGAACTTCTCAGGCAGAGGAAGGAAAAATGTCCCATTGATATTATACATTTAGTTTTCCTGCATTGAAGTCTTCCATCTGTGACCCCTTCATTATTTTATGATTTCACAGAGAACTGTGAATTAAATATTTAATAAAACATTACAGTAGGCCTTACAGTGCATCATCTATTTAGAATTTATTAGTTAAAAAAAAAGAAGTCATGAATGTTTTGAAAGTTGAAGCTCATTTGTTTTCTCTTTCACTCATAGTTTTTAATGAATACTTCAGACCTGGAGGCTTGGATAGCAGAAAAATATCCACTTGTGACAAGCAAGGATTACGGCAAAGACGAAGATGGAACACTGAAACTCATCAAGAAACATAAGGTATTTCTCTGCTTAAATTCTGCAGGCTAGCCTGACCTTTTGGTCTCTCTGCAGTCATAAAATTGTTTGTCTCATTGGTAGTTTGGTGCCCAGCCACCTGCAAGATATTTTGCATTGATATATGTCCACATATGGTTAGACTGAGAGAAAAGATCAGTGTGGTTTACTTGGTTGATAAAATGTAGCTTGGGAGAAAAGGAGGATGGTGAATATTGTCATATTCTTCTGAGGCCAAAACTGACTATCTGCTTTTCAGTTTCCACAGCTGCATGCAGAAGCCTTGTCATTTTTTCCTATAATCAAAGATACATATAATTAATCCAGGAATACTTTTCTCTATCTAATATTCCATCAGGGAATTCTGATTGTCTTTATTCATCTAATTTATCTGAATTTCTGTACAATTTTTCTTTTGTTTTTTTTTAATGTTAGAAAATAATGCTAGAAAATAATCTAAAATTGATCAAGTCTTGGAAATGTCACACCCTTCCCAAAAGTATTTATTTTTCAATCACTACACCCTAGGCTGTTCACAAAGAGTATCTCTCTCAGACAACTGACTCTCAACTCACTGTTTTTCTTCGTTAGGCACTGGAGCATGAGATTGCCATTTACCAAGATTTGTTGAAAGAACTGAGTGAAAGTGCCCAAACTCTTCCTCTTGTGGGCTCCATCCAGTATATTGAGATTGATGCACCAAAGGAACAAGTTAATTCAAGACTCCAGGAGTTAGAGAAGCTAGCAGCCACAAGGTATAAACCAGAACTCCCCCTTGGATCCTAGGTTAGATTCAAAGCCCACTGAAATCCATAAAAGGCATGTCCAGCTACTTCACCAGAATTTATATTAATTATATTATAAATTAGTTATTAATTATAATGTTGTTGTTATTAATTTTATTTTACTTTTATAATTTTATAATTTAATTATATTATCTCATCTCTTTTCAATTATATTTAGGAAATTGCTTGTTTCTATATTATAATTCTGTGTATTTATGAGCTTTTCATTTTACTAAACAAGACATCTACAATTTATTCAAGGAGTTTTGCTAAATCTTAAGGATTTGATACCTACAAATTTCCTCCTTACCTTTAATCATCCTCATGTAAAGTGACTTGAGGTGCCAGATTCTAGCTTGTGTTTGTGATATTTATAATCTGCTACCAATAGGAAAAAATATTTTTAGAATGTTCCCTTAATGATACTTGAAAATTACTTAATTTTTTACATATTGTAGGGGCGACAATAATGGATACACTTATTCATATGCCTAGTGACTGTGCTAGTATAGGAAGGCTTCTATTCTTGAATTAATAATTTACTTTTAGTTTCACTTTCTTTCAGTTATTATTACAGCAAGATATTTAACACAGGACAGTTGGCTTGTACAAAGGGTTTTAACACTTCTATTTTGTTTCCAGAAAGGAAAAACGTCTAAACTTAGATTTTTCCCCCACAGAAATGTCACTCAGAAGAAGAAGAGGGCTCTTCAGGCAGATTAAAAAAAACCATTCATTTCTAGAATATAAATATAAAAAATATAAATATATAATATAAAAAAGATAAACATTTCTAGAAATATCAAAATATTTCTGTGTGTTGAACACAGAAATGTTTTGTTTTCATTCCTCTAAATGTTAACCTGGGTCTTGTGGTACATTATTGGTGCTCTGGTTTGCACCTCTGATCTGCATTCTCCTTGGGCTGGACTCTTAACAAGTTGCATCTCCTGTGATGAACATTTGTGACTCAAATTTGGAAGCCAGATTCTTCTTTCCTGGAATATTTACACAATGTCAAGCTAGGAGATAGAAAATTTGGTTTTTTTAATTTTTTTTTCCTTGCTGTGGAAGCCCTGTAACGTGTCTGGCTGAATTATAAAATAATCTAGACCATTGGAAATACGTAACAGGTTGGAGCAATTCTGCCAAACAGGCAATATGAGAATTACATCCAAAGGCTTTCATAGCATCTGCTTACCTGATGCTCAGGAAATATTTCCTTCTCATCTTCACAAGCAATTCAATTCATTTTCACAAGCAATTCAATTATCTTTAGAAAGACAGATCAGGACAGATCTGGAAAAAAATAAAGGGTATTCTTTCTCATGGAAATAAAAAAAAAACATCAAAAGCAATAACAACAAACCCCAACCAAAATCAAAAACAGAGCAGAGAAGGAGCTCAGACAGGCACAGCGCTCTTCTGGGAAATTCAGCTAATGAGATGAACATGACCTGGCTGACAGCTGTCATCCTTCAATCATAATTTCCAAATCTGAGGAATAGTCATCTCTTTTGTTACAGAGAATGAGTCTTGATGGTGAGAGGTTTGGGGGATTCATTGGAAGAAAGTTACTGATTACCCTTCTCTTATATTATTAATTATATTGTCTTGTCTCCTTCCCCCAACAGAGGGAAGAAGCTTGATGAAACTCTTGTCTTGCATGAGTTTCTACGAGAATATGAAGATCTGGAAGACTGGATCACTCAGCAGAAGCAAACAGCCAGCTCTGAAGACTATGGAAATGACTATGAACATGTTTTGGTGAGTTTTTTGAGTAACATAAAAAAATCAAATAAACTGTATGTGTGAGACTGTAAACAGACACTAAGGCTGTCCTTGAAAACTTAAAAGACAGAGTAGCCATTCAGAATCTTCATTTTTATGATTTATTTCCAAATAGCTTGTGTCCTAAATCTTAAAATCAGACTACATTATCCATTTACAGTACTGAATGCACATTTGCATTCATTTAGTAGAAAACACATAATTTTATAACTGAAATTCACTGTACATAGAATATTTGTTTCTATCCCCAGTAATAATGTTTCTGCCTCCCATCTGCATCAGAAACCTCATGTTTTGCTAAGAGTTTGAAGCTCCTCATAGTCTTTGAATGTAGAATCCTGTCATTCTCTGCAGTTTCTCCATCTCTAAGTATTATCAGCTTATTACCTGGTTTTTGGCTGTGTTCTGATAGATGAGAAGGTATGTTTGGAAAAAGAGGGCACTCAAAAGGGGTTTTCTCATTATCCTTGTTTTCCCTCCTAAAGCAACTTTATGCCAAATATGACACATTCCGACACCAGTTGGAAGCAGCTGGGAAAAGAGTTGTGGCTTTCCAGCAGCTGGCAGACAACTTGCTGAACCAAGGGTATTCTGAGTCCTGGGAAATTCGGCAGATGCAGAAACAACTAAGGTAGGAGCCTTGTGTTAGGTCTAAAATGCTTCGTCCTTTCTATTTGCTCTCGAGGAGGAGGAACTAACAAGAAACTAGGAAAGGATAAGGTATGACCTCCTGATTCTCTAATTGCAAACTGAGTGGTTTGACACTGATACAGAGCTGCTTCCAGCCTCATTTACAAATAAACGTCATCTACTTGCTGTTTTGAGTTCTTGTAAATTGCTTTGGAGGTGCTTTACAAAGGTGAACTTCCTTTGCCTTTTGGAATGGGATCACCAGCTGAAAGGCTTGGAGTTTTGATGCTTTTAATTACTTCTTATTTTCGAGTTTGAATCCCACAAATGTTCTGCAGAATAACATTGAGATGCTCTGAGCTTCTTAGTTCTGGCATCAGCTCAAACTGGCCAGAAGGAGAAGTGTGTCTGCAGGCAGTTGTGGTCACCACAATATAAGAAAGACATTAAGCTATTAGAGAGCATCCGAAGGAGGGCCATGAGGATGATGAAGGGCCTTGAGGGGAAGCTGTATGAGCAGCAGCTGAGGTCACTTGGTCTGTTCAGCCTGGAGAAGAGGAAACTGAGGGGAGACCTCATTGCAGTCTCCAACTTCCTTGTGAGGTGAAGAGGAGGGGCAGACACTGGTCTCTGCTCTGTGATGACCAGTGACAAGACCCAAGGGAATGGCCTGAAGTTGTGTCAGGGGAGGTTTAGATTGGATATTAGGAAAATGTTTTTCACCCAGAGGGTGTTTGGGCACTGGAACAGGCTCCCCAGGGAAGTGGTCACATCACCCTGACAGAGTTCAGGAAGTGTTTGGATAAGGCTTTCAGATGTATGGTGTGATTCTTGGGGTGTTCTGTGCAGGGCCAGGAGTTGGACTTCAGTGATTCCTGTGGGTCTTTCCAACTCAGGATACTTTGCATATGATTTTATGGTCCAAGTACTGCACATAAAACCTGATAAGTGCAATTGAGGGGGGAACTCTTAAATAGGACCATTTATTTAAGTTCCTGGAGCAGACAGGAGGACAGAGTAGGGTGAGAGACATGCTGCCATTCAGAGAATCACCCCAACAGAATTTAAAGGCAGGAATTAAAAAGAATAGGCATTCTAAGACTAAGACTTCTAAGCAAGAATAGGTTTTGTTTTCAGTCTTTCTTCAGACTGTTGGTCTCCTTTATTCCTAGTTTAGATGTTTTACATGGTTCTTTTCCCCATTCTACCTTGAAGGAACTCTTGGGAGGAACTGCTGGAAATGACCAGATTACGAGGTGAGCGGCTGAGAGATGCTGAGGCTATTCACAAGTGTTACCAAGATCTGACAGATGCTCTGGCCCATATTGAGGTAAAAATTAATATGAAAATCTCATATAATGCAAACTTTATTTCAGCTTTTTTTACAGAATATTCTTATGGTTCTCAACATTCTTACTGATGACATAAAAAAAATTCTCAGTTAGAAGCCAGTGTGATTACTCATAGCATTAAAAAAAAAAAGTCCTGGGCAGTCCTTAGACACTTGACTGGTTACTTTATGAGAACCATTGGTGAAACCAGGTGGAGCTGGAGCTGCTGATCTCTGGGAAAAGGTGAGAAGATCACGGCTTTAATTAAGGTGCCTCACAGTACAATGCATACAGTGATGTTTGCAGTCATCAGGCCTAAGAAACTACTGCCTTACCATGGTGGTTCTTTGTACACTGTTGCAGTTTTATGTGTGCTGAAGAACTGTCCTGTGAAAAAGGCATTTGTTTGGATTACAGTGACCATTAGCCTGGAAGGCTGTCAGGCAAGCATGTGACCTGATGTGAAAAGCTGAGCCAAAAATCTTCTCCTCTCATTTCAGTGCCCAGTAGTGTCAGTAATTTCAAGCAGTCCCAGCAAGAAAACTAGGGGGAGAAGTCCTCCAAAAAGTCTTCAGCATCTGGTTCATCTGAACATCCTGAAGAATTTCACTGAGAAACCACATCCTTGCTGTAATGAGAGGTGTGGTTTCCCTAATGCAGATGTTTACAGGAGGCAGAGATCCAAGGGGTTTTGCAAGGCAACAGGGCTTTGTTTGGTTACATGCAATGAACTTTCTACTTGTTTGTGCTGGCAGAGGCTGCCCTATTCAACCATTTATTCCTGTTTTCATCCACTGCCACAAAGAGAAAATCAAACATAATATTTCACCATTTACCAGCTGGGATTTTCAGAACCTGGTGCTTATTTAACTTCAACGATGAAGCAGTTAATGCTGACAGAGTGACAAGTCAGAAACACTTCAAACACTATCTGTTGGTTTAGCCCCATGCTGAGTTTGGTCTAGGCAACCACTGCACCCTCTTTGCATTGCATCTTGTTAATAGCTTCACACCAAGGAAGGACAGCAGTCATCTTGTTCATCCTTTCCTGTGTACTCTAGTCAGAAGCCTGTCAGAGGAAGCCTGTTTTCACAGGGAAATAGTACTGAAGATCTTGCTTAAGTCACTAGCTCCAGATATCCCAAACTAGCCTATGATTCTGTTGCAGAAATGCAGTTCTTCAACAGTAAGAAATATTCTGCTAATTTTCCCTAAATTGACCTGGAACAAATTTCTAATAATTTTAGTGACAGTGCTATTGTCCTGCTGAAATGCCTTTTCTTTTTGCATACATTTCCAATGCATGTCTGGGTAACAACTAAATTCCTTCAGAGCCTTTGCTGAATTAAAAAAGTTTACATATTTTTAACATTACCATGTAATGGTCCCTCTATTTCTCTTATCTTTACAGTTATCTTTTTTGTGCCTCTATAACCAAAATTTTATCTAAAGATGGTTCACAGGAAGACCACCTGTATCTCAAAGAATTGACTGGAACTGTTGCTTGTTAATGCTGCTTTAAGAATTCACTGTCACTGCAGTAGGTATTCAAGACTGATTCCCAACACATAGCCTGTAAGATATTTTCTTGAATTGTCTGATCAAGGAAAGACACAAACCTTCATTTCTAACAGTTCATTTGAATAGTTTAGCCATTAGGATATTTAGAAGTGAGTTACTAGGAGAGATTTTTCTGGCTTCCTTTTAGCTATCATAGTTGAGTAACTCAGAATGTCCTCAAGTGTGCAGTATGAGTTACAGTACCCAATATTATTTAGTGTAGGCTTGTAGTGAGTTTTGCTTGGAAGTGGGAAAAAGCCAAAGCTTTCTCTGATTCTTCCTTCTAGGAGAAGTCCAAAAGTATTCCAGATGATGTTGCTAAGGACATGAGAGGTGTGCAGACTCAGCTCCGGAACCATGTGGCTTTGGAGCATGAGCTCTCTGGGAATGAGCAGCAGGTAATGACAGCCATTTGTGGACTTCAACTTGTAGCCAAAGTTCAAGTTTCCAAAATAAACATAATAATAATTTGGTATTGTGAACCAAATTATTGCCATCTCTCACAGAAAGCCTGGAAATTTCTGGAGATTTTCCTTAGTTTTCTGGGGTTTTTTATATATTCAGGGTCTGGTGGCAGTGATAATAAAAATAGGTAATAACTACTTTTCAAATAAGGCACATACTGTAATAACTACTGACTGTTGAAGTGATTCACAGGGATGTTTTTGATCATGGTTTGAAATGCAGTATTTTTCCAGGCTTTTTGACATTCTTATTGTCTTCCTCAAAGTGTTCCAAGTGATTACAAGGAAAAATCCAGAATGAGATTTATGTGCAGAGAAAATTAATATTGGTACAAATTGAACTGTGAGGAAAAAGGATGGCGCTCACAATACAAATATTAAAAAATTTTAGTTCATGAGAACAGCTACCTTGTATATGGGAGACTTGATTGTCTTCAACAAACCAATAAAACTAGTATGAGGTTTCACTCCTTTGTTTAATACATGTAATAGTATACAATAATATATACTGTGTAAAGCAGCATGAGTTATACTGAGATTACTGAGATTATCCCAGTATTACTTATCAGTGGCCTCAAGTATTTTGACCTTGGGGCAGTAACATTAGAATTGATCCTATCACCTTGTCATTACTTTTAATGGTAAAAAAAGCATGAGACATGCATGAAGAGAATGTAGTCACAGTTAAGCTATATGGTCAACGAAGAAAGAAGGGAATGGTTGGCTGTTACTTGCATTATAATAGCAATTATGATACTACATTATCATATAATAAATGATGTAGTAAAAAGGGAAAACAAAATCTGCCTCTGAAAAATCGCTGTTGTGATGAGCCTTGGCAAACACTGGATGTCACTATTACGCCATAGAACAGACATTATAGAAGTTTTTGTTGACTATGAGAAAAGTTAAGCCAGAAAACGTTGTTTGAATTGTATTTTCATGTACAGAAAAGATAGCCCTTATCAGAACTTTTCTAATATTAGCAGGATCTCCATGTTGCTCTCCTTCTTACCCTCTTCTTTCACCCTCTGTGTACAGCTGCAGGAGCTGATCCACTCTGCAGATGACGTGCTGCCCCACTGCTCCAAGAAGCAGGTGGAAAACCTGAAGGCAAAGCAGCAGGCAATAGTGACCAACTGGAAGGGCCTGAAGTCCAAAGTGGGACAGCGCAGGAGACTCCTGGAACAAGCCTACAAGCTTTATGAGTTTCAGGCACATGTAAGCACTTCTGCCCCTTGTCCCTCTCTACTCGGGGGAAGGTTGCCTGCAGTGGGTGAGAACCACAGGTTTTTTTTATGTAAGAGTATGTAAGGTTTTATGTAAGGTTTTTTCTGTAAGAATAGAAGCTTCCACCCAGAGGTGTAAGGAATCATTGTCAGCTGTCAGAAGTGGTCACTGCTTTGCAGAAGTAGCAAAAATCTTTTCAAAGACTTTGCAATTTCCACTGAGTAAGAGTGACAGAAAAATATGTTACTCTCCCACTTATAATGCATAAAAGTTTGTTATCTCTCTCTCAGGGCATGCAATAACCCTTGGTTTACTTACCTCATGGACTATATCAAATATCACTCGCTGATTTTTGCACTAACCTCTCAAGCTGCTCAAACTGTGACATGGATATATCAGCATAACATCATAAGCAAGCATGCACCGTAGCTTTGTCTCCAAAGAACTCAGCAGCTCACTGAGCTGTGATTTGCCATGGAATACTTTGCAAATGTCAGTAGTCTCAATGAAAACACTTGAGCTACAAGTGCCTTCACTTGACCACTGCAGATCAGTAGATTATTGCTGCAAGCACTGCAGGTGCTACACCAGCAAGAGTATCCCATTATATGGTGAAGTGAGTTGCTAGTGTAGTTTTTCAGGAATACATTTACATTCTTTTATTCTTGAACTGTTCCAAGTGTAACTATTGTGTCAATTCAAGATACCCCTGCTAGTTCACATTTTTCTTCTATTTTTAGTGGGAAGCAGAGAGGGTCCAGAGTATCCACCTGGAAAAAACTTGCTGCAAGTTTGTCTTAGGGTTGTGATCTGGAATCAAGACCACAACAGAGTGTACATGTTTGGGGATTTTTTTAGCATGAGAGGCATCTGTACATTCAATTAATCCAATTGTCTCTTATAAGTGTTTAAATCAGCATTACCTGTCATATTTTATTAAAAAAAGGTATTATATAGTTAGAGATGAAGGATGTTTATGGCAGTTTGAGGTTTTTGAGGGTTTTCTTGGTTTGTTTTTTAATTGTTACAAGTTCTATTATCATGTGCAGAACTGTTGATGGGGAAAATGAGTGTGATTCTACTGATGTAGATGAAAAGTTCATTTATCCACTGTCTTTCTAACAGTATCTAGGACTGATGGGAAGAACAAGGCAAACTTTTAGAATGCATTCTTTAGAATGCAATCTATTCTTCTATATATTAGATTCTTGAAGTCTTCAGCCTGGAGGCATCTTCATCAGGAGGTGGATCTTGGTGGATTTGACCATTAAAATGTAGTCACTCAGAGTTCACTTCTTTATTGATCTACTTCATAGCTTACATCATAAATTTAGATTTTGACTTCAGATAGAAAATGTTAAGTTGTCCCCATCCTGTAGGAGTGTTATTCTAATTTTTATTGCTGGAATGATGTAAAACACCTTTGGATTGAATTTTGTCTGAAATGTGTGATGCATCCTGTGATCTGAATGACAAATCTATAGCTCATTTCTCGCTCTGCCAATGTGACCTTTGATCTTCATGACCCTTAACATCATAAAACAAAATGACAAAGCCATGTGACCATACTCTCAGTGACATGTCTAGATGGGACTATGCCTCAGGCAACTCTCTGTCTCTTTGATGTCAGGCTAATGGCAAAAAGTATTCCCAGTCCTCTCAATTTTCACCTCCTTTCCTGACAATAATTCCTGAAGAAGTGAAGAGCTGGTTCTGCAATTTGGTAAGCCTGTCTTCCTGCCCAGATGGTACAAGGCAGGATCATGCAGCCATGGCTAATAACTAAGAATTTCAGAAACTCTAGAGTAGGTTAGAGCAGCTTTGCTGCAGAATATCACCCAAACTGCCGAATGCAAAGAGGCAACTTTGCTACCTTTCCTCTTTCAGCTATGCCAAGGGGTGCACAAACTTAATGTTAGTCACAGCTGTTCACCGTACTTTTTTTATTATATTGTTCATATGCAGTCCACAGGACTTTTTGATTAAAAAAAAATGCACAGATTAAGTGAAACAAAATAACCAATTTCCATAAAATGAGAATTCTGCACAATCATCTAGTGTATCTCCTTACACCCCATCAAGTACAATTTTAATGTGATTAAATAGCAGAGCTGGGCCTGACTAACAACACACAGCACAGCAGAGGGCTTCAGATCTTCCATGGAACTTTGTCAAGGAAGGTGAGTGTAGACACAGGCTGAATGTATCTCTGAATGATCTGAGGCTCTTATTCTGAAGTTTATGCTGGGATCTCCATGATCAGAGTTGGGCTTTGCTTAGGAGGTTCCTGCAGACTGATGTCTACTGTATCCTTAAATATTGCTGGCAGTCCAGTCACCTCTTATTGGCTCTTGACTTGTTCCATTGCATTATATATCCTGAGGCTTATAGATTTTTTCCTAATGATTCGCTCAAAATCTCAGGGAGTTTTAGACATTTGCAGTGCCAAGTGCAATGTCAGTGTCTACAGTGACATCCAGCTGTGTGAATGAATTAGTTCTACAAATGGAAATTATGCCAACACCTGTGTACTACCACAGGCCCCTTTAAAAGGACCACAGTCTTTTTAAAGAGTCATTTAGTAGTTGTGTTCACTTGGCTTTTTAAAAGCAGTGTCTTGGCTTTAAGTCTTTAAGTCAGGACCCCAAATTTGCCAGTTTTAATTTTGTGGTGCTTTTCTGAACTTTTTTCCTGGCTGTCTTTACAAGATTTTGATGATACAAACAAAAATCTATGGGTAAAATGGACAAGCCAAGAATCTATTTCCATTACATAGTTTCCTTCAGTGAAAAAGCCAGCAACCATTTAAAAGAGACAGTTTTTACTTTTCTTCAATAAAATAGAATGTTTCTTCAGCACTTACTATAAACAGTAGTATTTTAAAATGCATTTTATAAACCTGAAAGACCATTTACTATCTAAAAATTGAATCAACTAATCCAGACATAGTTAAACGATAAAATTTCATCATCATCATATATAATCCCTTGTATATCCCTCACAGTCCTAGTTTTTACCAACTGGCACATAAGAGCAAAACTCCTACTGCAGATTCAAATAAGAATAAGAATCCTAAAGTAAGTGACTGTTGAAGGTATAGAATCAAACGGAGAAAAAGACATACAAAGAACATGAAATTGGTTTTACTTGCACAGTTTTCTTCAATCACAGTTAAAAAATAATCCTCAGGGATTTGTTTTAGCATTTTCATGCTCATAATTCCTTCAGACATTTTGTTACTGCGTATATATTTACTGGTTCATCAGATTTTGAAAATGAACTAGCATGACATATTTGTTCCTCCCAATCTCAGTCCTGTAGTTCCACAAACCAAGAGCTGAATCTGTATACCTGATATGCTTATGCAATTTCTTATGACCTGTGATTAAACCTTTTCCCACTTCTATTAGAGTGCCTTTGTTTTTCACCTGAAAATTCTCACTCTCATTTTAGAATGTGTGTATAACCTAATTTTTAAGTAGACTTGTATTAGCCAAAGCTTTCACAGAAATGTAGGACAATACTGCTTTATCCTTTAGGAAGGAATAACATTAGAAAATACTTCAAGAAAGATGGATTAAAGGGCAGTAAATGATATCATGTTGTCACTGATGTGATACAACAATTTGATTATGATTATGACACTACAAACCATGTAACACAGTATATAGTAATTCCTGCAGTTGTGTTATCCACCCTTATAAAATTCATAGAAGTACTGCAAGCACTAATGAAATATTTTATTCATCTATGTTTTTATTACCCATTTTTCACCTAAAGTTGAAGAGTCAGACCAAGATTTTACTGCCTGCTAACCTAAGCTTGAGCCCTAACCTCAATTTTCATGTTTTCCTGGGTTCCAGGTGTGGGACTATTTCTTATGGACAGCAGAAATAATAAGGGAAATGAGAGCCAAGGAGTCTATTCGGGACATATCTACTAGCAGCCTGAGACTCACCCAGCATCAACAGCTACTGGCAGAGATCGAAGCACGAGAAGAGAAGTATGGTCATGTTGTACAGCTAGGACAGTCCCTCTTGCAAGATGAGGAAATGCCATCAAAAGAGGTAATTGAAACTCCTCTGGGTTCAGTCATACATATTTAGCACTGGACCCCAATGTGGCTATGATTCTATATTGTATCACACTGTGAGATACAAAAACGCGTACACTCACTTGTCCATGCCCATGACCTACATCTGCCTCAGTATGTTACCTATCTTGGGCACAAAAACATCTGTTCCATTCCTAACCTCAGCAGCAGATACGTGGAGGCATCTCCTGAAGGTCCCCTGCAGCAAAACTGGACTTTTTCATGAAGTTCACCATGTTCTGAGCCATGGAGTCAATTATACAGACTTTCCAAACTTGATTTTCACACAAATGCTATGCTTTGTATTACAGTGGTATATGCACACCAGAACAGTCTGGACAAAAACCTGTCAACCAAAGAATGAAAACACTCACACATATGAGAGTTTAAAGGCAGATTGAAGCATTTTCTGTAGTAAAGAATTGCACAAGTAAAATATACTCCTTGGAAATGAAGGATTTAAATCAAAATGTCAGTTTACTCAAGACAAATGGCTTCTAAGATTCTCACAGAATTTATTTATTTTCCAGTACCTACCAGCTCATTTCTCCCCTGACAATTCATTAACATGTCTCTTGAATAACTGCAGAAAAATGCAGAGTTTGTGCAAGTTACTGTCCCATCTTACCAAGCTATTTCCTGAAAATTTGCTGAATATTGCACAGTATGACTATGGTAACTAGAAATCTTGCTGACTGTAAAGTCCTTTTGCCTGTAGAAAAAGGTAGGAAAAATCTTTCAGAGAAAACCTGTGGATATACAATGTTTTAAAGCTGAAGTTATGTTAATTCTAACCTTGTGGCATGGATTTACTGACTAGAAGAACATGCTATGTTGATAATTTATATTTCAGTATCTGTCACATGAAAATTTGAAATGCTATGATAACACTCTTAATGCTTAAAGATAATGAAGAATTAGGATCTGATTCTAGAAGCCACACTTGAGAAACAGTAATCTTTCTTTGCTTTTGGTTTGGACTGTTGTATATGCTGTAAGAAGCACTCCTCTGTTGCAGAAATGAGGTACCTCTGATTATGTCTCTACCCAAACAGTACAAAAAATTTGTTCTACTTTTCTTTCTGTTTAATAATTTTGTTGCAATTTAAAGGCATTATCCACCACTCCACTTAATCCTTTATCCTCTCAATTTAGCCAGATGATGGGATATAAAGACCAATGCAAGTTTTTAATTGGAAATTTTGTTCAGATTCAGCAGAAGCTACAGGCTTTGTTGGAAGAAAAGAAAAATGTATACAATGCATGGAGACAGAAGAAGGAGTGGCTGGAGAAAATACACCAAGAACAAATGTTCTACAAGGATTGGGATCACCTTGACATGCTCCTGAACTCACAGGAGGTGAGCAAATTATAAACTTGAAATAAGCAGTTAAAACTCTTCAAGCATGTAAACCCTTTCAAACTAAAAAAGGCACTACTGTTCACCTACAGTTTGAAATCCTTGTGCCTGTGTACAGACAAGACAGCCTCTTTTATTGGTATTGTTTGTGTTGTGGTATCATTTGGAAACTGCAATGTGCAAGAAGCTCTCCTTTCTCATGGGGCTTAGGTGTGGAACAGAAAGAAAGAGATGATCCTTACCTGAAAGATGATTCACTGCAAATATACTTAGGAGGGAATATGTGAGCATCATGACAGAAGAGGGAGACAAGAGTCTGATATTAGTCCACTTTACAAACAGATCTCAGTATGCCAGCTGCTTAGGCACTGACAAATTTTGTAGGATTCAGAGAGAAAGGAAATTGTAAAGAGTGTTTGAAGGGAGTTTGCTTTGCAGGTGTTGCTGGAATTCTCACCTCAGGCTGAGAGTTATGCTGGGAAAATGTAACTAGTGGAAAATGGATGTCAGCAGTGTGAGTTAATACAGAAAAGTAAATTGGCTTCTCAGTTCTGCAAGGGCATTGATAGGAGTGTGTAGAACAACAATGAAAGAATTTATAAGGAGTATTAACTTCTGTTTGGTGTGATTGAGAAAAACAAGCTAGTGAAAAAGGCCCTCTCATGAAAAACGAGGGCATATATAATCTATGCAAAGAGTCAGAAGGATGATCTTATTATCAGCATTTTGCAGCTCTTGAAATAGATTTTTTTTCACCATTTTTGAGTTATATTTTGTCTTTCTTGCACTTTCTTTGATTCATGTAACTCTTAAAAAAGGTTCCAGTTCAAGGTCTGGCATTTGCTATTACAAAACAGAGTGCACTCACTCTACAAATTCATGAACTGATAGATTGCTGCAATTGTGCTGGGATTTGGCATGCAAACCACATCCATGGGTTGCAGGCTGCCAAACTGAAGGATTGACATAACACTGGAGGATGTTGAACCTCTGGGTCGTTTTTCATTAAGGAAAAATAATTCTCCAAGACCACTGACAGCAAAATATAATGGCTCTCATTTTGCCCTGAGCTCTGTTTTCCACCAGCGCTTTGCCACTGGCACTAAATCCTTTTGGAAACTGATTCTGAGCTGTGACATGCAGTGATACTTAACCCTTTGTGGCACACAGGCCTGGAGCTTTCTGCTACTCCTTCCTTGAAGGAAATGTGTGTTTGCATAATTCCTTATAATCGGTTCTTTCGGTAATTGTGACCTGCATTCTGGAGTTCGTGACATGAAGCAGAGAGTTTCACCTAGGCTGTGATTTCTGGAGTAAAATATTACATAGTTCTGCCCACTATTTGTTGCTTATATAGCAAATGACATGATTTGCATTATATCTATCACAATTCCCTACCAAGCAGTGGTACACCATTGTTAAGCTCCTGCACAGGAGCTTATCAGGGAAAGTGTAAACTCTACAAAAGTTTGGCCACTGCATTTTTTCTCTTTTTATTAAATTGATATCAGCCAACAGACAGAGGCACTTTCACTGCAGCATCTGCTTGGATGTATGTAATGCAGGGGTAAATGTATAGGAAGGTATTGTGGGTAGATGATTTTTTCACCTCTCTGTTGTGAGACCTGGTTGCAAAAGTCTGTATTACTCATATATGAAAAGTTAACGGACTTGGCATTTCTGGTATGCCCCCAGCACTTTCTCTACAGGTAAATGGCACTTCATATTACTTCTCAGTTCAGATGAATTTGCCATTGCCATAGGCAGTGTGACTTAGGCTGCCACAAAAGTGGTGGGTGTTCATCAGAGGCTAGGTAAATTCTCCTGATGCAATCAGAAACCTCAAGTTTCTTCAGCCAAAACAAAGTCGGAGAAAAAAGGTTATGACCTGGAGGACCATGAAGTGCAGTTCTGCTTTCAGAATCTTTTTCCCATAGTATCCTCTCTATGAACTTCCAAGGAGTCTGGTGTCAGTTTTCCTCACTGACACTAAGCATCCAGAAGGTGGAACAGTAAAGTGCGGATACTTGGCTGTCTCTTCACACAGACCACACTTTACAGTCAAGCTGGCTTTTGCAGCTGCCACCATCTGCCTTGTAGATCAGAATAAACAGTTTGACAGTGGACTGATGTTCCTTAGCCAATACTTTTGTTTCATGTTTCTGCAGCTGAAGAACTCTTGGAAGAAAAATCTATTTGTCTTGGATTGAACTCTGTTACTACTACATAGAGTTTAAATGTGGCTGCGTAGTGATACAGACAAGCAGGATGATAAGAAAAGCAGTTTTTCAAACATGTTTTTAAAAAAAAACTCAGCCAGGGTGTCAGCTGAAGACTCTCAAACCATTTTCCCAATGGGAATTTCATCATTTTCTGCTTTCAGAAAGGAGAAAAGGAAACACACTTTTAAAAAAGATTCCTATCAGGCAAACAAGTAGAAGAAATCTCTCCACCCTTTGTGTTTCTTCTGACCTCTGCGTTTGAGTCAAGGCTCGGTTACGTGCATTTCATTTTTTATGTCTGTAAAGTGTCTGTGTAAGGAAGCATGTAATAATTTTTCAATCCTGTTTTGCCAGCACTTCATATGCCATAGAACAGAAGCAAGAAACAGGGGAAGGGAGAAGGCAACAGAGTATTTTAAACTATAAACTACTACTGAGAATTGCTCGTTCATTCACTGTCTGTGCCACTGTGACAGGTTTGACTTTAAGCCAGCATCTTATATTACATCCAAGTTATTTAAACCTTCAAAGGATTTCTGTAGAATATTATCTACCATTGTTCAGTGCTAAAGAAAATAGAGCACATGTGAAGAAAATTAGGCAAACATATATTTTTATTTTTTTTTTTATGAATGCAGTTGTGGAATGGAGATGGAACTTCTGTAGGAATCTCTTGTAAGAGCTGCAAACTGAGATCTCGTCATGCAGAGCCCAGACAATTAACAGCTGAAAAAGGGAAAGAAGGAAAAAGCTTATTTTTGCTTTGAGCAGAAACTGTGTCCAATACTGTCTGCTCTGTTCTGATCTTTTCACAGCAGCAGATCCATTGCTCAGGTTAGTTGCTTTGCTTTTTTTCACAGATGAAATAACAGCAAGTCTGCAGGCTGTCTCTGGCAGGCACTTTTGGCTCCCTCCTACTCTGTCTGCAGTCTCACTGTCAGAACACTCAGGGAGCAGAGCCGTATGCTCCCTAATTTATCTTCCAGCCCATCCCACACTCATATCGCTTTGCAGACATGACAAGAGGTGGTAGCAGTTTTAGAAGAGCTGAGATTTTTTATTTTGAATGTGGATTTTTTTTGTTCATATTTTTCTTCCTGGAGAATGTTTATTCATCTCTCATTCCTTTGCTTCAGAGGAAGAATGGAAATTTCCAGTGCCAAAGGGAAAAGGATTAGGACTTGGTTTTAAGCACAGGGGGAAAAGCAAGCTTCTGTGTCTTTGAATTTTGCATCATTTAGGACTAAGCTTCAGAATGTCATACAGGGACCATCGCTGCAAACCTTCATCTGCAACCTACGTCTCCACTGTGGAAGTGCTGCTCTCTTCCTGTAGAACGACCCCACCTCCTCTTTTTGAATCTTCTGTGCAGGTCAGGCCTTTTCAAAAGATGCCAGTGCCAGCTTGGCATCCTCCTACTGGTCAATCAGTCGCCAAGCTTGCTCCAGGAAATGCCATCTCACCACCCAGCGGTGTGTCTTACTGTTCAAGGCTAGATGTCATCCTGGCACACACAGACCAGAGGAGAGATTTTGGGAGCACTAATCACTGTGTCAGTCCTTCTGATGAGACATCCACATGTTCCAGTGCTTGCAAGGATCCCTGGGGACATGGATATGAGAGGTCTGGCACTCAGTCAACATCTGCATCTTACAAGCAATATTCAGAAAGAGAAAAAAGTGTTCATCGTATTTCCCCTGGAAAAAGCGATCCCTTGAAGCTTGCTCTATCTTTGCCTTCAGATGTTCTTTCCTGCAAAGCTCCATCAAGCTGGACATCATGCCTAAACGTTGATCTGTCTGCTATTCCAGCTGCTTCTGTGATCCACAGGAAAAATCTGCATGCATCTCTGGAACCTTGTGATTCACTGCCAGCCCAACAAGGGTGTAGCCAGTGCAATGTCCAAATGTCAGACCTCCACTCTTCAATGAAGCTTTACATTTCAACGTGCAGCTTGATGATAAAGCCTTTTCGAGCAGGTTCCCATGGAAGCAGTCATGCTCATTCAAGTCTGCTCATGCCACAATTAGAGAAGGTGCCTGAAACTCCCTCTGGTCTTCCAACACGATCCCAGAAACCAAAGCAAGGTTTCCCTTCAGGTGGGTCACCAGCCCTTCAAATCACAAGATTTCATGTGACTTCCTCCAAGCATTCTGGCCTTCCCCAGCAGACTTTATCCAGAGGTGTATGGCTGTCCCCAGCTGTGCTGACTGGAAGAGAAAATTCAGCTAGTGGGAATGAGATCATGAACAAGGATTTAAGTCCAGAGTTGATTGTCTTTCAGAATTACCCTTCATCTAGGCCAGAGTTTAGGAAGCCTCCATGTGATGGTCTAACACCTGCTCACCACAAGGTTTCCAAAATCACCCTGGTATTTGCCACTCCTTGGACTGCTATGCCTATCCAGGTGGTAAGAGAATTTAGAAGAAGCCCAAATCCAAAAATCTTTATCAGAACACTTGATTCAGATAGAGCTGGTCCACCCTTTCACCCTGTGGAGATTGGGGCTGGCCTCTCTCTATCAGTGAACCCTGTCTGCTGCTCAGGGTTGCTTTCTAGCCATTGGAAAAGATCTGCTTTGAGGCCTTCCCAGGAAACATGCACTGTCCGAAGCGTATGCCCTGACAACCTTGTGACAAACATACCAGCTCACACCACAGCTTCAACTCACAGAAACACAGAGCATGCCAGGTCTCCGTCTATCGCCGTCAACATTGCATCCTTTGGATCTGGGAGGAGAGTGGTGAAGATTTGCATTCCATTCTAGGAACATTTGCA